GGACTGGAGAAAATATGGTGAAACAGGGCAGAAAAAGGCTCTGGTCGGTGTCTGTCCATGCTGGACTGGCTGTGATCCTGCTGCACACTCCCCACCTCGGGCAGTGCAGCTGCCTCCTGACCCCCTGCCCTTCAGCAGGCACCCTAAAAGAACCCCACTATTGATTTCTTCTCTGTTGTATCACATGAGAACTTCTTTAATTGATTGGGGGAATTCTCTGGGAGGAAAGCTCAAATCCTAAGCACTCAGGGAAGCAGCTTGGCGAAAAGAAAGACAGCAAAAAGGCCGCCCAAAATCAGAGGCTGCTCTCAGCCTTTTGGCCCGTTTGGTCCTATCATTTGAGAAATGCAACTGTTGCATGGAAGCCTCGAATAATCACTTGGTATCGATACCCGGGGACCTTGGCAGCTGCACTGAATTACTTCTTGGTCACACCGCCCAGAGAAACTGCAGCTGGAAATGTGGCTGCAATCATGCCAGCGACTCGGATTGCAGGGGCTGGGAGCTGGGCTGTCAGCTGTGACAGCTTGCTTTTCCTGCGGGAATTAACCCTTGGGGCACTCCCTCCTCCTTCCCCAGGAGGAAAAACGCATCGTGATGTGATACTGGTCATGGTTCCTTCATGCAAACCTTTGATCGTATGAACAAGGCGGCCGGATCACTAAATGTGGACAAATCTTGCACCTCGCTGTTGCTCTGGCACAGTGGAGAGCTCCGAAGCTGCCTCCCACCTCTGCCACCCTCCACCTCCTCGTCCAAGGGTGATGAGGATCCGTGGGGCTCAGCGAGCCAACAGTAGGGAAATACAATCGCAGAATGTGGTTGATGGAGGTGTAGAAATGCCAAAAAGTCTCATCAGGATCCGTCCCCAAGCAGCATCCGAGACTTCAGGAGGAAAATGACAGATTCCACGCACCGCTTCTGATAAATTTTACAGGTTGCCCTGGGCTGCTGGGAAACTATTTCCAGACACAAAAGTCACTGAGATTGTCTCCTCGCTTGTGTAGTGATGAGACTGATTTTTAAAACTCTTGCTTCAACCTCACAGTGCTGCCCTGTTTTCTTCATTTTTTTTTAATTTATTTTTTTTTTCAGAGGGGGAGAGCAGCATGCTTATTCTTTCTGGGCACCACAGGCTGAGCGTGCAGCACTGTGGCGCTGCTCACTTTGTGCTTCTCTGCCTCTGGTCCCTCTGGTGGAGGAAGGACGTGTGCGTGCTGCTGCCACCGCTCAGGTCCTCTCCTCGGGTACTCTTGGCTTCAGCAGCTCTAAACAACTCCCTTGTTATTACCCCAGGGTAATGGGAGCTTAAAAACATCACAAATTAAAAACGAGAAGATCAAAAGTGCTTGCCCTTTCCATAATCTCTTTCTCCAGAAAGAGATTTTTTTTTTTTTTTGTCTATCTGGCTCAGTAATGCTTTCCTATATAAAAATGTCTTAAGTAGGACACAGGGGAAGATCACAAAGTCTGCTTTCTGTAGCCAGCCCTTGCTGTACGAGGTGAGCAGTGACACCTCCGTCACCACGGTCCAGGTCCTGTCACAACATCCAACATTCCTCCTGATTTATCCTCATCCATTCCTTCGGAGCACCCCCAGTGTCCTGGAGCAGGAGCTTTGGCAGCTCACCCAGCTCCCACTGATTTCCAGTTCTCCAACTGATTGTTTCAAATGTGTCCCTTGTGAAGTCCTGCACACAAAGGAAAGGAGCCATTGATCAGACAGCTGGCAGCAAGTTTTACTTCTGATTTGGGACAGAAGAATGGGATTTGATGCGCCACCTTGGAAAGGCTGCTGTTGGCCCCGAGGGAGCAGTAAGGGCACAAAGCCCAGAGACAGGCACATTTTGCCTTTTGGATGTGGCATTGATAGGGCTGGAGGACTCTGACACCGCTGCGTTTGATCAGGTGTCCGTAAAGCCGCCGTGACCCAGCTGGGGTTATTAAAACGGAGAGGAGGTGAATGTCAATGAAGTGAGAGGAATAAAGCACCCACACGCATTGCAGGATGTGAGAGCATCTACAGCTTCCAGCTCTGACTGCCCCAGGGCTTGGGCTGTGAAAAGATGTGTCCCAGGCTGATACCTCCAGCCCCGGGTGTGCTTCTTGTTGTCAGACCGAGGAGGCTACGGACACGAGGGATAATGAGCTGCAGGGAGGCACTGCTGCTGCTTTCTTTCAAGCGTGCCAACTTTGCTTCTTGGGTTCTTCCAAAGCACAACGGTGACCATGAAATTATTTAAATGTCATCAGCCGGGAACAAGCAGCCACCAGTCTTCTTGTCTCAGGTTAACCGCCCTTGGCACAGCAAATTTCCCTCTCTGAAGGGATGGGACCGGGTTCCTGATTCAAGCTCTGGCTGAGAACGGGGACATTCAGTCTCTGGAGCCTCATGTGTACCTGGGGATAATTCCCAGCTGGACTTCATCCCAGGAGGAGGCTGGAGGAAGACAAAAGGAATCACCAGGAACTCAGATGGCTCCAAGGTGCTCACAGCTTTCAGCAGGTGCTGGCAGCTCCTGTGGCCACACCAAGCCAAGTGTCCCTGTGCAGTGGCCCATGGCACATCCCTGGTGGCACAGCACACATCAGGGGTGGCACTGTGTTATGTACACCTCCAACAGCGCCTAGCTAATCCACCCCTAATTAAATATACCCAATTAAGATCTAAATTCCATGTGTTTTACTCACTTAGGTCCAAATTCAGCTAAGTGAGTGTTTCATCGCTGAGATAAGGGGTTTTCTGGAGCTCTGCAGGAGGCTTTTTAATTGGCTTGCAAAAAATGACCAAGACACCAGGCTCAAACCTCACACACCTCTGATGGTGCCCACCATCAGCCGAGGCTGAAGAGCAGCCTCCGACGTGGGAGCAGCCCCGCTAACCCCAACCAGGGGGGTACCTGGAGGCTTCGGGGCAGATCCCCTCTGTGCAAGGGCCTCCTGCCGTACCCATGCCGAGAAATCCCCAATAGAGGTTGCAAAAACAGGCTCTGGGAGCTCCAGGTCTCCTTTTGAGATACCATTGTGTTATCACTGCTGTTTTGCCCTGCTTAAGAGGCTCAGATGATTTAGTGTTCGCCTTCAGATGCATGTGGAGTCCCAGCCCACACGCAGTTGCCTTTTCCTTGGTTTATCGAGATGAAAGTGCGGGGGGTGGGGAAATCCTGCCTGTTTGTGTCAAACTTGTTATTTCAGCAGCGGTACCTTTGGCTGTTTCTCACAACGTCTCCTTTGTAGGACGGCTGTGCTGGAAAATAGCGATGCTTAGGGGAGGTTTTTAGAAGCAGGAGATAACAAAAGGTGCAGAAAACCTTGACACGCGCCCCAAAGGCCAGGTAGTAAGGGGCACAGCTGCAGCCCAGCCTTCTCCACGCTGCTCCCAGCAGTCTCCAGAGCACATCACACCCCTCCTGGTGGCCTTGAGCTTCTGTTACAGATCTGATGTCAGGCTGCCTGACCCTACAGTGCAGGGGGATGTCCCCATGCAGTTCGTAAGGAATGGTGCACCGACATTCATTAAAAAATAATCTGGTCTTTGTTCCTACTGCCTCTGCCATCCCCAGTCCACCTTCCTGGGAAGACGAATGCTGCCACAGCTTCTTCAGTCCACGGTTTTCTGGGGGAAATAAATTGGTTTCTTCTCCGGGTGTACTCCTTTCACCTATAATAAAGTGTGTTTTATTGTATCCGACTGCGCTAATTGCTGCCCTCGTTATGCTCGGTGCACAGGTCAGATAATCAATACACTTCACCATTTAAAACCAGTAGGACTTGTGATCATTTCAGAGCCTGTCTCCTAAGCTTAGGTATTCACAATGTGCTTGTTTGTTTGTTTTTCTCCCCGGGGCTGATTTGAATGACAACAACGTTGTTAGTAGCAGGTTTCTGACGTTCACAGCGCCTCAGGACTAACCCTGGGGCCCTCTGTGATAATCAAGCAGTGCTTCCCTCCAGCCAGATGATAGAGCCTTTGTCATCTCAGCTGCCGTCTCCTTCTCCCACCACTGCAAGCAGCAGCCTGGTGTTTGTTCAGAGGGACGTGGAGCCGATCCCTCCTGGTACCAAAGTCACGCTCTGCTCGGCGGCAGGAGCAAACCCCGGTCTTGTGTCCGAGGAAAAAAAAAAGCAGTGGGAGAACAAACTTCACCCCACAGCCGCTGAAGTCGCTGGAGGCTGCCAAGAGAGCACGTCGTCATCAGATGAGTCTCCCCCAAAGCTTCTTATCCTGCTGTGCTGGAGCTTAGCACTAAGCAGGTCCCGCTCCCAGCACACGTGTGTGTGCGCCCTGCTCCTGGGGCTGGCCAGGAGACCGTGGCAGGAGGTGACATGAGCCCGTGCCTCCTGGTCCCACTCCTCCTTCTGGGCAGGAGGCAGCACGGAGGGCTCAGGGGGTGAAGGAGGTGGCTGGGTGCTCGTGGCTTTGCTGTTTGAAGCTGAAGCAGCCTGCCCTGCTTGTCTACACGTGGGGCTGGGATGTCCCCGGGGAAGCTCTCCACGCAGGAGGTGCTCCCCTGAGCACTTCTGCAAGCAGCCAGGTGGGATTCGTGCACAAACCTGGCTTTAAATGCCCATAAACGTGCATTTTAAGGAATTCCTTGCCTTATCCCCCTGCCTGAGCTTGTCTTCCCCGTGCACTTTAGCTGACAAAGTTTATGGTAAGAACCATTGCGTTTTAGCTTAATTCGTGGCTTAATGATGTTGGGGTGAGCGAGCCAGCATCTGCACGGGGTGGAAGGTGAGGAGAACATGTAGGAATGGGGGAAGAGATCCCGATTCCCATCTCCTAGGACACCCTACAGGCTCCGTGCCCTACATGCACAGCCTGCCCAGCACCAGCACCCACCGAGCACCCCTGTGCAGCGGGCTGCCCCACCGGGGCGACCCTGCAAATGATCATTATCATGCAAATAAATCCAGGGGGCACTCGCAAGGGGTCGGGGAGCTGCCGGGCCGCGGCGCTGCCGGGCTCAGCCCCGGGGAGGGCTCTTGGGGGGGGCGGCAGCAGCCGGAAGGAGGGGGCTCGGGGGGCGCGTCCCAGCCCCGGCACCCGGCGGGACGGGAGCCTCCGACGGGGAATCGCCCTTTTAAGCAGCGGTTCCTCTGCCTCCCCGGCTCCTGGAGGGGCTCCGGCAGCCTCCGAGACCTCCGTCCGTCTGTCCGTCCGTCCGTCCGTCCCTCCTCCTCCTCCCCTCCCGCCCTGCCCGGCTGCCAGCGGCGGCTGCGCTCCGTGCTGCGGGCGGGGGCGCGGGGAGCCGCAGGGCGGCGGTGGGGTTTTCCCTGTCCCCGTGTCCCCGTGTCCCCGTGTCCCTGTCCGTGCGTCTGTCCCTCTCCTTCTGTCCCTGTCCCTGCCCCGGGGCCGCGCTCGGGGACCATGGGATGCTGCACCGGGCGCTGCACCCTGATTTTCCTCTGCGCTCTGCAGCTGGTAAGTGCCGGAGCTCCGGGGGCTGCTCCAGCCGAGCCTCCCCCTTCGTGCCGGGAGCGAATTTGGGGGTGCCGAGGGCTGCCCGGGCCGGGGAGGGGGCAGTCGTGCTGGGATGAAGCCCCCCCCCAGGTTGGGACGAAGCCCCCCGGTGCCCAGGGTCGACAGGGGAAGGGGTGGTGGGGGCAGCCCAGGGCTCGCTGCGGAGCTTGTTGGAGCTTAAACCTCGGGGAAACGTGGGGTCGGTTAGTTTCTTGTTGGTTGCTTTGGGTTTGGTTCTTTTGGGTTTGGTTCTTTTGGGTTTGGTTACACTGGATTTAGTTGCTTTGGATTTTGGGTTGCTTTGAGTTTGGTCGCTTCGGGTTTGATTGCTTTGAGTTCTTGTTGCTTCGGGTTTGGTTGCTCTGGGTTTGCTTGTTTGGGGTTTGATTGCCTTGGGTTTGGTTGCTTGTTTGTTTGCCTGCTTGCTTTTTAACTCCTCGGTGTACAAGTTTGTGCTTATTGACTCCAACTACACAACCCAGGCGTCCCGGCGGGCTCGGTGGCGATGCTCAAAGGCAACGCAAACTTCAGCCGTGCCCAGCCCCACTGGGTCTGCATCACCCTGCACGGGATGGGGCTGCGCAGGCTGCGAGGGAATTATTTCAGCCAGTCTCGGGGTGGTGTGTTCATATACGACGTGCTTCCATGTCCATTTATTTAGGAATAAGCTGCCCGGTGTGTCCCTTGAGGGGTCCCCATCCCTCTGCACATGCCGGTGGCAAACAAAGGTCTGGCTGTGCCGAGCCCTGCGCACCCCGCCTGGACCCGAGGGTCCCCTTCTTGTCCATAGCTGAAGGCTCCAGGGCTCCTCCAGCATTAAAAAGGAAATAACAGCGTTCCTGTACTTAATTTCATGTAGATCTCCCGAATTTGCTTGATTTTGGAGTGCTAGGGGTGTGCAGGGAACGGCAATCTTTCTTCTAAGTTGTTGAAGAGTGAGCTGGAGCCAAGGGGCGAATCCAGCTAAAACTCTTTGTGCTGGGGTCGCTCGCTGTGACAGCAGCTTGTTTTCTGCCAAGAGGCAGCGAGCAGGCACTTGGCTGAAGGTGGGAGAGCCTCTCATGAGAAAAAAATGGGAACCTGCTAGTTTTCTGCCCTAAATGAGAGGGGAGCAGAGTGGGAATACCCCTGTGAACTGTGAGCAGCACAATCGCAAGATGTGGATGGAAGATTTGACTCAGAGTTAAACAAAACGCAGAATAGAAGTTTTTCGCACAAAGCACCTCCCTCGGCATATTTATGAGCGGCTTGAATGGCCGGGGAGTGTATTTAGTCTCCTGGATTATTTCTTTTGATTTCTCACCCGTGATCACAGAAGAAAGAAGCTGTGCCCCGTATTACGTTAGAAATTGGCATCTCCACCCCGACTGTCTCTGAACCCCATCACCATGCCATCCCACTTTAAGGCACACACTCGCATACACCGGAGGGAAAAAAATGAAAAAGAAAAAAAGCCACGGGCTGCTGGTGCTGTTCTTATTCCTGACAAGCGTGGGAGTTTTTTCGTATCCAAGATACGGGGACAAAGAACCCCCAGCATTTTATTTTCCTTAAGACCCTCCTCCTGGAAGAAAAGAATCAGTTTGGCTCATTCTTAAGCAAGTTTGGATGCCTCGGCCGTGGCGATTTCCCATGGCACTCGCGGGGTGAATTGGTAGAGCTGGAAAAATGTGAACTATGGGGAGGGAATTCCTGGAGCTCCGCTCCGATGGGGGTGAGGTCAGGAGATCCTGGCTGGTTCCCAGCAAGTGCTTGGGTGAGGGTGAGGTCCAGCCTGGTGCTTTTTTATTATTATTAATTTTATTTTAAGTGATGCTTGTCCGTAAGACTTCGCATCATTTCCACATCACTACAGCCAAGTGACCTGCAGGACTCACTGCTGCTCGGAGTGGGCTCTGCTGAGACAAAACACTGAAGCAATCAGGCCAAGATCATCAATAAATTATAACGACGTGAACTTCCTTTGTTCCTCTCGTGTCTCTGCTCTGCTTCATTTGATACTTTGAACCCTTCACAGTCTTTCCTGCGTGTTGCCAAGCTCGGTGCCTCCCAGTGCCAAAGTCCCGGGGTGAAACCCTGGCTCCTCTGTGGGCAGTGGATGTTTTGCCTCTAACTTGAACGGGCAGAGCACTGCAGCTGTGGCATTTCCCACTTCAGTTCTGCAGCACAGCCTTCGGTTTCTTTACATATTCTCATGTCAGTTCCTCCAGGCTTCACCGGGGCTTTTTGTAAACAATGAATGGAAACATGAAATAACACCCCCTGCCCCAAAAATGAAACAGAATTGGCTTGCAATGTGTTTTTTTTTTTTTTTTTCAGTTTGCTTTCTTATGAGGTGCAAGTCGCTGAGTTGGTGTGGGGGGAAGTGTTTGCAAACTGCAGTTTCAGTGTTTCCCTGGGGAAAAAGAAACAACAACAAAAAAAAAGCCAAAAGCAGAAAACATATTAATCGCTGCTGTGTGCGCTCCCCAAACAAAAAAGTTTGTGATCCCGTGGCAGAGCAGAACAACTTGTGAATTCAAGGAGCTGCTACACAGCGCGAATACCAACGAGATCCTCAGCCCCCCACGGGCTGAGCGCTCGCGGCAGAGGCGAGCAGAGCCGAACGCGGCCGGCTGCAGAAAATCAGGGCTGGCTCCCCAGCGGTTTGCTAATCAGAGGGGGAGAGGCGAGGCTGTAGTTTGAATAAATAATTCGCCGCGTTCCAATTTTAGGTTATTGTTTCCTCGCAACGTCCACCTTCGGCTCTCCTGGCTGGTCTGTGCTGGAGGGAGGCCATGAGGAGGTTGGGGCTCTCCTACCCGTGGGTCCTGCTGTGCATTGCTGCCCCAAATTCCTCCCTTCTTCCCCGTCCATCCCTGTCTTCAGCAGAAGTTGGGGTGAGTGGCCAAACTGGGACCACCCCACAGAGGGGATTGTCCTCAGCCCCAGCACAGAGGAGGGCCACGAGCGAGGTGCGGGGCTGTGGTAGCCCAGAGCTTGAGGGGTAGGTTAATAGCTGCTGCAGCCTCCCACCCCAGTCGAAAAAAGGGTAACGAGAAACACATGTCTGACCCCATCACTGTGCTGGCCAGGCCTGCAGGGGGATGCTCTGTCCTATTAATTTCCTCCAGTGTTGAAATTCCCAAGGGTTTTGTCACCGCTTGGTTCTAGCACCTCTCCTCCAGGTGCTAACAGCGCCTTCAGCACCTTCACGCCCTCGCTAATCCTGCCCAGGGAAAGCCCCAGGCAAGGCTGAAAAGAGATTGCTGGCCTCCCAATGAGCAGAGCAGCACCCGGATCCTGCAAGGGAGCCTCTACGGGGGTTCAGGAACATCCCTCGTAGAAATTAGGGTTGGAAAGGGCTTGTCAAGGGCAGGCGTCCACGTGGTTCGCAGCCAGCAGGGCCACGGGGCTGCAGCCTAGGTTGCGGTGAGGAACCACAGCTGGGGCTCAGGCAGTGAAATATTAAAAAAAAAATCCTTGATTTGCTTCTTTCCTCCCCGACAGCCTGAGATTGCACCCAAACAGAGTGTTTTCTAGAGTAATAAGCGATCGTGCGCTGAAGGCACTACGTGAATTTATTTCCACCAAGCTGAGCATGGAAAAATTCCCTCCCTCCCCATGCCCTGTCCCAATAAATCAAACAACTGCAGTTTCTTTACATTCTGTCCATGGATTGAGAGCTCAGATGCCAAGCAAAGCCTGGAGACAATTTTACAGATACATTATAAATCCCCCTAGAATAAGAGCTTCTAATGGAAAAAGTGACTAACACTTCAAATGAGCGCAGAACACGGCGCCCTGGGACGGGCCTGCAGATTGAGACTAACCAAAAGTAACTATATACCTTTATTTATTTATTTTCTTCTGCTCCTTCTCCCTCGCTCCCTTCTCGGCAATGCCTTTTTAATCTCTTGCAGAAGGGGGTGACCAGTGCTGGAAAGTATTTGGAACCAGCACAGATCCTTCCCTAGCTGCTCCCTCGTAACTGGAGCGGTCGCGGCGGCTTGGGCGAGACGCGAGGCGATGGAGAGCACGCGAGGGGTCGGGGCAAAAGGGGAGAAAACGGGCACGTGGGGTTGCACAGAGCATCTGGGAAGGCAGGATTTGGAGGAAAAAAGAAAAAAAAATGAGTTAAAATGGGTGGATTCAAGCTGGTCAGTGCCCCTGGGTCTGCAGGAGGGAGGTTGGCAGGGTGTTTTCCTCTCCAAGAGGCAAGCGGGATGGCGGTGTCGGCATTTTGGGGCTGTGGTGGTGGTTTTCTCTCCATCCCAGGGAGATTTTGAATGGGAAGCAGGGTGGGGAAAGCGAGGCCCATCTCTCCCCCTCCGTCAGCTGCCTCCGGAGCTGGGGCAGTTGGATGTATCTCCTGGGGGAGCCCTGAGCCCGGGCAGCTGTGGCACGGCTGAGCACAAAGCACTGAAGGCGAGAGCAGGTGCAGGGGGAAGCACGGTGTCCCTTTGCTCATCATGCTGATCAGGCCCACTCCAAAATTGCCTCGCGCTCTCCCCAGCTGTTTATCTTCTCCAGGTTTTGTGCTTAGATTGCAATCCCGCTGGAGAAGGGACTGTCTTTTGTGCATACGCACAGCACCCAACACCGTGATGGCTCGATCCTTTCCCGAAGTCCTTGAACAATACTCCGGGCTAAATAATAACATAAGTCTAAGGCTATATTTGACAGATGCTGTCTTCTCCGTGTCTGTTCCAGACAAAGGAAAATTAAAGCTGTGCCAATAATAGAGCTCGTCAGCATTTTCCACTGATGCTGACTTTCAGTAGAAACCTGGGGATTTGACTAAATGAATATTTTCATGAGAAGTATCTGCTTTCCATAGACAATTCCGAGTTTTTCTCCAAAGTTTTGGCCAGAATATTTTGGCGAAAAATCAAAAATGTGCTGGCAAAGGCTTGCTGTGCTGGCGAACATTTTTAATTTTGGAGTTGTGGGGCTTTTCTTACAAAAAGTTGAATTTTTGC